TAATTCTGCTTCTAGACCTTACAAAAAGATATTTACTATCTCATTCATATAATCAGCTCAGACAAAATTCTCCAGTACTTACTCTAGTCTTGGCTAGACCAATTCTATTTGCAAATCACATACAAGACTCTTTGCCAAAGTCATCTTATAGGCTGCTAAATGGAGGTAAGATACTCAGAATTAGAGAACCTAATATGCTTAAAAGGGTACAGGGTGGGGAGAGCAAAGGTTAAGGTTGAAAAATGTTTCAAAGAAAGAAGTTCACAGAATTGAGTCAGTATATAGAACATTCTCTATAAAACATATAGAAATAGAAACATACAGGGTTGGAAAGGAAAATAGCAGACCAAAAGAGGTAACTACAAAGAAGACCCTAAAGTTTCTAGTTTGCAGTGATAGGAATAGCTATGACAAGGAAGCAAACTGGGAAAATGAACCTAGTGAGTAGGTAGGTAAAGAGCTTAACTTAATTTTTGACTTGGAATCACAGAATCCTAGACCTAGAGAGACTTTAGTGATGCATTTCAGCTCATCAGTTTTGGTGGTGGCTGCAACAAAGAGCAAGCCAGCGATGGAGCTAAAATACTGTTACCAAATTGTGGCTCAGATACCACTGACTATAAATGTTCTGGGCCCGAGAAATGTCCTCTATTCAAAAGTTAAGATGTCAAAGACATATTAGCAGTAGCTGAGACTTTCTTCTTTGATATAATTAAAAAACTAATTAGAAGAGAATAAATTTTCCCTGTATAATCTGGTGGTTTTTTAACATGGCCCGTGGTATTCCTTAGAGTACCACGTGCACTCCCAGGGTGCACAGTGTTTTTTAACTCCATCAGAATGAATCTCCCTAGATTCAAACTCCAATTCTTTTCATATGTTTATGGACCACCTACACTTGGCAATGTACTGTAGCTGTGACTGTCACAAAGAAATATGATCTCATGATCCCTACTATATGTAGATTATAACCCAATTAGATTATAACCTAATTAAATACTACATAAAAGCACACAAAAACCTCATGTTAGTAGTTTAATACTAATTGAATAAATGAGCACTCATTCTTAGAAATCAATAGAAATTACTGTGACCCTGAGTAGTAAAGCTTCACAGGTGAGGATTGAATTTGGGTTTTGAAAGAGGACTTGGATCGTGGAAAGGGAAAGAGAGGAGCACATATCAATTAGGAGGAGTGGAGTAAGGAAATGTGGGAAACACTGGACTAGAACATCTACTAAAGGCCTTTTGAAGCCTAAATAGTGGGATCCAAACTTGTTAGCCTGGCCTTTAAGTTTTAGTAAAAATCTTTCCCTCACTGGATCTGGTGGCACATTCCTGCATTCTTGGAGGCTAAGGCAGGAGGATCGAAAATTAAAGCCATCCTGGGCTACAAAGTGAGGCCCTGTCTTAAAAAAAAAAAAAGAGAGAACAAAAAAATTTAAAAAAACAAAACAAAAAAACCATTCCCCTTACCACTTCAGCTAGAAATGTTAATTGCCCTTTATATCCATTACAGCCATTTTTGTAGTTCTTATCTACTCCTGTCTACATACGTAAGTCTCACCTATCCCTAGCACATTTGATGTCATAAAATCCTAGCCCACCCACATACTCAGTGATGATTTCTTGCTCTGAAAGTTCATTATCCTTATTACTTATTATCCATGTTACTTTGAACTACTTACCATGTTATAAATTCATGTTGCCTTCCCTCTCCCCTCCCCCACAGTTAGATTAGAAATGCCAAACTCTTGCTGGTATCCTTTCTTTTCAGGATCCCTAAGTGTTAGAGTATCTCAAAGACATAGAGCCCTTTCCATAGAATCTCACCCCTCCCTGGTGTGATACAGTGAAAAGCACAAAGGCTAGAAGCTCTTTCTTGGTTCTGCCACTAACTATTTGGTTGATGACTAGTCAGGTGTTTTGGTATCATGGAATTCAGAAAATAAGAAACTTGAGTTGGCCTTCCTCATTTTTCATTTTACTTTTTTTTTTTTTTTGCAGAACTGGGATTTGAACTCAGGGCCTTGCACTTGGTAGGCAGATGCTCTACTGCTGAGCCATACTCCCAACCCATATTTTTCTAATAAAAGCCACATTCTTACTTTTATAAGTAGAAGATCATAAAGACACAGGGGGTGGGGGTGATACAAACCTACTACCTAGAGGACACACTTTGTGTTTTAATGAATGTATATTTTTATAGCTTAACTTTATGAGTAGAGATACATTCATGTAGGGACTTCAAGGTACTTTCCAGCTCTAAAATATTTTAATTCTTTTTTTTATCATTAAAGGAATCAATATAGTGTCATGTTTTTGTTTTTGATGATATTGGGGTTTGAACTTAGGCCTTGTGCTTGCCAAGGAAGAACTGTACCATTCAAGCCCTACCCCCAACCCTTTTTGTTAAGTTATTTTTCAGGTGGGGACTTCAGCTTTTTGCCAGGACCAGCCTCCAACTGCAGTCCTTCTACCTATGCCTCCTACATAGTTGGGATTACAAGCTTGTACCACTATGCCCATACTCAACATAATGTCTTTAAAAACTCAACAAGAGTTGAGTACCTTTTACTACTTGGTTCTCAAATCAGGTTAATATATAACCATTGATTGCCTGTCTCCGAGTCCGATATTCAGCAGCTACATTTAGAAAGATCCATTAGGTCCTTTAAGCCATATAGAGCCCCTTGTGTTTGCATGTTACCTTAAAGAAGCTTCATTCTAATGTATCACTCTAGAATAATGATACACTTAAACACAGTAACAACTTACTTATTGGTAGAAAATCCCCTTTCCTAGAATATTTTTTGTTAGGGATGGAAGTCCTGAGCTCAAAAGTCTTCCCAAGATAGAAGATAGTCCATGCAATGAAAAGGGTGGGAACTCCTAGAATTATTGCTGGGGATAAGGGGAGGATCCATGTGGAAGTTACATACTTTTAGCAGTTATTTAATTACTATTAAAAATTATTTGCCAAAGGTAGAAGGATTAATCTCTGATATGTAATTAAAGATAGAAAAAGGGCTAGTGGAGTGGCTCAAGTGGTAGAGCGCCTACCTAGCAAGCATAAGGCCCTGAGTTCAAACCCTAGTAGTGCCAAAAAAAGAAAGAAAAGTAGGACAGAGCTTTTAAGTTTAAGTTTAAGTTTAAGTTTAAGTTTCTACACATATACTCTGGGATTTTTATTAAGGGGGTTTCCAAAAAGATAATTGTATTCCGTTTTTCTAGGAAGACTAACCTGTTTTGGAAGCATTCTAAAAACAGTTGGGGCTTCTACAAAGTAAAAAATGTTAATTTTTAAATATGTAACAAAGTATGACAAATTTCCCATAAATAAACTTTAACCTATCTAGAAGTTTTAGCCCATAGCTCACAAAATTACTGAAATTCTTTCACGAGTATGTTTAATTAGAAAGGATTCTGTTGATAGGTAAAGAGTTGGGATCATGTAGTTTTTAATCTGCACTAAAGCATGTTAAGCAGCGTCGCTAAGCTTTTTTGTTTGGTTTTAATTCTTCCAAGCCCTTTCCCTTCAGTGGTAGAGTGCTTTCCTAGCATGTGTAAGGCCCTGGGTTCAGAAAGGAACCCAGGAAAAAGAAATAATCTTTTTCCAAATATTCTTCAAAATTAAAAGTAACTAACATTATGATTCCATTTACTGGCTTATTTTAGTGGTAAAAATGTTCTGATCTGAATAATTAAAAACAAAACTTGCTACTTTTGTTATGCTACTCAGTTATCTGATATTGACAGTGATTTTTATTTTTCTGATCTTTTTCCATTCTCTCCACCCCAGCCATTTCTTTCTGTACACTATGGTACTATTAAATATCCCTTGCTAAAACTTGACTTTTATCATGTTCAAAACTTACCTTAAATTAGTGTAAGGCCCCAAGTTCAAACCCCAGTACCACTAAAAGTAAATAGAAATAAAATTACTTGTTCATTTATCCGTTCTACAAATATCTGTTGCCTGTTGTGATCTAGGCATACTGTCTTTTATCTGCCCTTCTCCCTCTTGTCCAACCTTAAGTTGTCTGTCCTTGGTTCCCATCTTTTATATCAGTGTTTCACTATGCCCTTTCAAAGCAACCATGCCTTCCTTCGAGTGCTCTTAGAAAAAAGCCTGATGACAATCATTTATAGTGTAGTTGGAGTTAAGTCATTGTTGCCTCCCAAGAGGCATTTGTATTTTGACTTTGCCTATAAATGGAAGTGAAGAACTATCAAAGGATTTGATAGCTTCTGTGTTTTAAGTGTTGAAAGTTACTGGGGGGAGGCAAAGTGCCCTCTACTGGTTCCTTCAAAAATCATACCAAATGAATGGCTTGCTGCTGTTTGTTGTCGCCATCCTACTTTCCCTAGTCCTTCCCACATGCTATACAGGGAGCTATACAGCTCTTACTCTTCCTGCCCAGTTGCCTGAACTACTCCCAGTGTTCACCTCAACCCATTTTCCTTAAAGGTTTTTCTGTGTTTGCTGTTACTCATTTTCCTTCTGTGAGTCGTTGTTATATTTAGCAACCAGAGCTGAGATTACCATTTAATCATTTTTTATTTCAATTGGCTCATTTCCTTTTCCTCCAACTCCAGTATAAGCTTCAAGAACACTGACTCTGTCATCTTATTTTTCTATTTAAACAATGTAGCAGAGAAACAGTTGGCATTCAGGGAATACCAACTGTTAAAATGAGAACATGTCTAGGCCCATATTTATTTATATTGAATCTAGCAGCATTTTGCAAAACGAATTCATCCTTCACTAAAAGAAACATGTCAGGCAGGGTTGACATGTGGCTCAAGTGGTAGAGCATCTGACTAGACGCATGAGGCCCTGAGTTCAAATTCCAATACCACCCTCAAAAAAAGAAACATGTATACTTAAAAGATTATTATTGAAATTTCTTTAAATTAAAAATGGAGAAAAAGTCAGCAATTTTTTTTCTGTACATTGCTAATATCTGAAGGAATTTTTGATTTTTACTTCTTAACAGGTGGTTTGTTCTGGATGCAGAAACCAGAGATCTAGTTTCTATCCATACAGATGGAAATGAACAGCTGTCTGTGATGCGCTACTCAGTAGGTAGGTAAATTTACCCGCCTCCATCCTGGCATTCACTGCACTTCACTGTAATTGCATATTTTTACTTATAATGAAGTAGACTTCTCTGCTGTTTAGAGTTATGAAGTATTGAATGTTTCCTTGAACATCAGATTAAATTCCACTGCTGGAAACTATAAACGATCTGCTAAAGTTAAATAGCATTCTGAATCATCAAGCAGATATAAATTTAGAATAAACTGTTACAGCAGCATTTGCAATTGAAGCAGAATAAAGTCCAGTCAAATCCTTTTCTTTTCAAAACCTATTTCTCCTTAGAATTTCGAATAGGTACTAGGCTGAATATTACATCTAATTAGCAACCTTTTCTTTGTATATAGGAGAGTATAAGAGCTGGGGATGTAGCTTAGTGGTAAAGCACTTGCCTAGCATGCACAGGCTTTGGGTTCAATCCCCTGTACCACACCAACAAAAAAGAGAGAGCTAGGCCAATGGCTGTAATCCCAACTAGTTGGAAGATGGAAATTGAAAAGATTGCAGTTCGAGGACAGCCCAGGCAAAAAGTTAGCAAGACCCCCATCTCTACAAGCAAGCTGGGTGTGGTGAGACAAAACAGTAATTCCAGCTATGAGGGAGGCATAGGTAGGAGGATTGCAGTTGGAAGCTGAACCAGGTAAAAAGCAAGAAAAATAACTAACCAAAAAAGGACTGGGGCATTGCTCAAGTGGTGAGCCCTGAGTTCAAGCCCTACACCAAAAAAAAGAAAAGTATAAAATTATAGTAATATTAAAATACACAGATTTTATAGGCCCTTTCATAGTCCTTTAAAATTTGTTACATAGTCATGATTGGTTTGTTAATTAGATACAATACTAAGCAATGCATTATTAGAATTTGATAACTTCATTTAGCTTTGAGTAATTCTTTGTACTTTATTCAAAATATTAAGTTTCCATAGTAATATTCCAATTACTTTTTCCTTTACAACATTTTTCCATGGTGTTAGTCTGATATTTTCTTATACCTGAGAAATTGTGTTTTGTTTTGCTTTTGTAGAACTGGGATTGAACCCAGAAATTAAGTTGCAAAGTGCTAGGCAAGCACTTTACCACTGAACTACATCCCCAGCCCTGAAAATATATTGTAATAACTGTTGGATCAAAATCAAAAGAATCTTTATGATTGTTTTTTGGTTGGTTCAAAATGAGCCCAGAGTACTATTCTCCAAATTGAACAGAATGTACTCTAAGCTATAAGCCTAGAAAAAATCATCTTGAAGCAGCAATGTTTTTTATTTGTTTTTATTAGTTTATTTTTAATGCTGTAATAATAACAACTGCAAAATGTAGCAATTAAAATCGAAGATCATTGGGCTTTGCTGACCATGACCATTCGTTATGTACTTAGCATATGGTAGGTACAGTGGAGGAAACCACAAAGAAACCTTTTCCAAGAGAGTCTGCCCTGTAATTGGAGAAATCACATGTGTAGCAGCACCATATGAACCTACCATGTAAACACTGTGGACTTCCGCCATTGAAGGCAGGATAATCTCTCTGAGGACAACTTCTAGCTAATTAGAAAAAGATGAGGGTGGAGTCCATGGCCAATCAGCACCTCCAAGGAGGGAGTCTATGTTGGACTAAGTGACCATTTGATTTTCAGGTGTTCTGAGTCATAGGATTTGTTCATAAAATGCCAAATAGGGTTAAATTGATGACGTTTAATGACATTTGTAAAATGTCCTTTAGTATAGGACCACTAAAGAAACAATAAACCTATCAATTTATTCCTCCAGTCAATACTTTTTCCTGTTTCCTTCTAGATGGTACCTTCTTGGCAGTAGGATCTCATGACAACTTTATTTACCTCTATGTAGTCTCAGAAAATGGAAGAAAATATAGCAGATATGGAAAATGCACTGTAAGTAGTGAAGTAAAGTAAATTAAGTTGTAAAGTGATTGGGAAATTTTACTAGTGTTAAAGGAAATTAACTGCTGATGTAGCTGTTGTTTTCCATTGTTATCTGCTTTAATCTCTTAAAATTGAGACTGTCTGATTGCAGAGCATTATAGTTCCCTATGTGCTCTGGAAAGACATCTCCTTTTGATTAGAGCTTGGTATTTGACTAGTTTTAAGGTGCTTTCATAGAGCTATTTCTATGAGAAACTGTTATAGTAACACTTTCAAAATAGAGTAAGCTGGGCACACTGGTTCACAGCTATAATCACTTGGGAGGTGAAAATTGGGAGGATTGTAATTGGAGACCAGCCCAGGCAAAAAGTTAGCAAGATCTCAACAAAATAAGTCAGATCACATACCTGTGATCCCAACTAGGCTGGAGATACAGGTTGGAGGATCATAAGCCATAGCGGGCCCCAGACAGAAGTTCAAGGCACTATCTGTAAAATAAAGCAAAAAAGGGCTGAGGGCATAGTACCTGCCTAGCAAGTGCAAGGCCCTCAGTACTACAAAAAAAAAAAAAAGAAGAAGAAGAAGAAGGAAAATGGAGTGAGTCAGAAATAAAAGGCCTCTGACTTTTAATCTCAGTTAGCCCATATTCCTGCCTACTCTTGACACCCTACAAGAGGTAATATAAGAATTTTATGTCTCTGCTCTTAAAAATAAAATGATGTAAGTAGGGTGTGGTGGCAAATATTTGTAATCAGAATTTATATGGAGATGTCTACATTTAACAGAGTTAACAGAGACATGTTTCTGTGATTTATTGCCCATTTCTCACATGATCATGTTATCTTTATAGTATGAAAATTAGATTAAATTTTGTAAACAACTTGCATGCTTACTGGATGTCAGGACCTCTTCTAACTAGGGAAATGGTATAGGCATCAGGAGCATGTGCAAGATGTGTCCCTTTGTCCTCAAGAAATGCAGCTAAGGCAGGGGATAGCTTAGCAGTAGAGCAGTTGTCTGGCATCTGCAAGGCCCAGACAGGATGGGAAAGGTGCAGTTAGGGGTTAAGGGCACAAACTGGATCTGAATTTGAATTCTTGCTTCCCCACTTACCTTGGACAAGTTACTTAAGCCTTCTACTTCAGTTTCCTCATGTATAGAGTAAGGATAATAGAAGTTACTGCTTCACAGATTAAAACAAGTTGGTGCACATAAAGTACTTAGTATTGTGCTTGTTACCTGAGGATTCAAGAAATGTTACCTATTGTTTTTATAGAAAAATGAAGTAGCTTGGTAATGTATGCCAGGAAATTAATTCAGGATTAGCAAATAATTTTGGTGTCACAAATTCTTTAACAGCCTTGATAATAAAACAGTTTATTTGAAGGGAATAAATAAAAGAATTAGTTCTCAGTAGCATACATCTTACAGTATAAGCAAAATAAGCTTCAGTATGGGTCTGAATTTTATTTTGCTTACTAGGTGCAGATTGAGATTTAAGTCAAATCATGAAATTAATTTATGTTTCTTATACACCTTATACATATAGCCTGCGTTTTGATCACTGGTCACATAAGATCAGGTGTGGAATTTTCCACTGTGGCTTCATGTGGGCACTCAGAAAGTTTTAGATTTGGAGTATTTCAGATTTCAGATTTTGGAGGTTCAGATTAGAAATGTTCAACTTGCATAAACAAAATCCAGGCCATTTATTTAGAGCTTTGAACTTGCAAACCAGGTGCTCTCATTTAAGCCACACCTCCAGTCCATTTCGCTCTGGTTATTTTGGAGATGGAGTCTCTGAACTATTTGCATGGTCAGGCCTAGAACTGAGATCCTCCCAGTCTCTGTATCCCAAATAGCCAGGCATGAGCCACTGGTGCCTGGCCCATTTACTATTTGAAGAGAGATTTGTTTGTTGTTTTATTTCATCCCATTATACTAAAACAAGCCCATTTATAAACTGGTCAACAACAAATTTATCCAAAATAATCTGTCACCTTAATGTTTATAATATGTAATACTGTACTATAAGATCAAATGAAATTTTCCCCTGTAAGTATTTTTTAGATTACTGAAGTTTACCATGCCAGGCCCCAAATTTTTAATTATTTTTAAGCATAATGTTTTATTTTAAAAAGTCCCATGTCTTAATAAATAGGTTACATCAAATATTTAATCTCATGGAATCAAAATTTTATAGGTGGTAGCACTTTGGCATGCATACTTAATACCCATTTTACAGATTAAGAAATTGAGTTTCAGAGAAAGTTAATGACTTGGCACTGATTGCATCTTGACATACTGGTAGATCCTGGACTTTACACAGCTTTCCTAATTCTTAGTAGAGCAAACTTTCCAGTGTATGATAATCCTCAGGTTTGTCAATATGTATGTTATTTTACTGTGCCATTACAGTACAACTGATCCAGAAAAGAAGCAGAGCAATGTGTGACATTTAATAATCAGAATGAACTTGGAAATGTTGAGAAATGGCAAGGTGATCAATTGCACAAGACTTACCCTGCTCTAATTAGGCATCTTTTATGAGTGTTTGAAAGCATTATATTGAAGTTTATGGTGCTGTGAGGCTATAATGAAGACCCAAATACTCAAGCTTTTCTAATTATCTTCTGTTGTGTGCTTTGCTTCCAGCTGTCATTCTCTCTGCTATCTACTTCTACCAACTGGTCTTACAGACTCCTGTTACTGCTTTATCTCTCACTATTAAAGAGAACACTGCTACCTACTAGTTTGTGACTGTAGGCATGTTAATTTGTTTAGTCTTAATTTTATTATTTTAAAATTAGAGGTCATAGCTGGGTGCTGGTGGCTCACCCCTGTAATCCTAGCTACTCAGGAGGCAGAGATCAGGAGGATTGTAGTTCAAAGCCAGCCCTGGGTAAATAGTTCTCAAGACCCTATCTCAGAAAAAAAAAAAAAAAAAAAAATCACAGAAAAAGGGCTGGTGGAGTGGCTTAAGTGGTAAGAGGGAAAGCGTGAGGCCCTGTGTTCAAACTCCAATGATGCTTAAAAAAAAAAAAAAATTAGAGGTTATGACAGTCCTTCCTTGATAGAACTGTTGTGAAGATGAGGTCTTTCTTAAATTGTGACAGCTAGAACTACTCTCAGAATTCCAAATACAAATGCTATTCTCTGTTTTATTTCCTGTTACTCATCAACATTTAAGTGACCATTGTAACTAAAGAAGTATTCGGGGATTGGCGCTTAGGAGATGTCCCCGTTATAAATTATAACCAGCTATAAGCATTGGGGTCAGTCCCTCTTCACACTGTCACTTTATGTAGAAACCAGTTGAAAATATGGCTACACCACTTCTCGGTAGAGGGAAGCTGACTGATGGCAGACCCTCTTTCTCAACCTTGTAAACTAAGAAACAAGACAAAAGATGGACTTATATCAACCACATTCTTCAAAGATAGTTTCTAAAATACCATTTACAACAAGAACTGTAACTGCTAAGGGCGCTCAATCCTAGTTTCTGCTGGCCAACCAAGTTCTCTCTTTTTAAGCAAGCCTAAGAAAACCAATTTAGAATCAGAATGCTAATTGATTCATTTAAATAGGCTCACACCTGTAGTCTCTGCCACTCCAGAGGCAGAGATCAGGAAGATTGCAGTTTAAGGGCAGCCCAGACAAAAAGTTAGCAAGACCCATTCATTCAGTAAGCTGGACATGGTAGTGTCTGCTTGTGGTCTCAGCATCTCAGGAGACCATAGGTAGAAAGACTGTGGTATGAACCCAGCCCCATGCAAGACCCTACCTGGAAAATTACTAAAGCAAAAAGGGACTGGAGATATGGCTCAATTGGAAGAGCACCTCCACAGCAAGCTCAAGGCTCTGAGTTCAAACCCCAATACCATTTAAAAAAAAAAATTAAGATACCGAAATGCCAAGAGGATAGTACGTGAGCATCCTCCAGCCAGTACATTCCTTTTCTTTAGGGGAAAGTACCTGTGAAGCAAGTGCAGTGCCTAGCTGATGGTAGAGGAGTATCTAGCATTGTCCTTGGTCTTGGTTCAAGACCCCTCTACCCTGGACATAGTAGACACTCCCCATGTATGCCTCAGTGACTCCTTTTTCTTTGCTGACTACCTTCCTGACATCACCCTCCGAACACTTTCCTTGGATAGATTCTGCCCCACAGTCAGCTTGTTGATTTTGGAGCCATTACGACCCTTACTTCTTTGTTTCTCTCTGCCTTGATTTTGAAGTTTAACTCTCAGAGGTTCCCTGGGGACACCCTTTTTACTTTCCGTAAGCTCAAAGAATTTTGCTCTTCTATTCATTGAAACTAATTTCTGTTTTTTGGTTTTTTTTTTTTTTTTTTTTTACTAATCCTAAATTTCTTTCATAATCTTACTGAAGTTTATCCATATCTGCTTGAAATTTCAGTGTTAAACTGCATAAACTATAAATTTGGAGATTTATTGTTTATTCCTTCTTTTAGGTACTCTAAAATGTTAAGTCTGATCTCAAAAGGGCTAGAATATCTGCATTTATAATAAAAAAATTCAGCATATAAAGTGAGGAGAGAACATTTGTCTGGTCAGCTTCCTCATTTCATGTGAAAGAAAAGTGAAGCAGTTTTCACAATAGCTCTCTTATTATGCTCCTTTGTTTTCTAATCATTCTCATCAAGCCAGTCTCAGTCCAGTTACCTCACCCTATAAATATATGAGCAAACTAGTCTCCAGAGGTGATAAGGACTGGATTAAAACTCAAACCTGAGAAACTTGGAAAGCCTTGGCACATATTCTAGAAGAGGCTGACCAAGAGCACTTTTGGCTTAATCTTTTTTTTCACATACCCTGTCACTTCTCCTTTCTCTCCATTTCTAACCCCTGCATTCATTTTTAATACTGAACAATGTTTATCATTTCAGAAACAAAGTAAGCATAGTTACAGTGCAAAGTAAGAGCATCCCAACTCTGAAAGGAGTTTCTCACCTGGAAGTAGTATAGAGGAAGGGAGGGCAAGGTGCTTCA